AAAATGTAAAATTTATTTGTCTGGCAAAAATAAACGGATCTTTATTGAATGTATTACATATAACTGCGAAGCATGAAATGATTGGCGTCAACTTGGGGACGCAATCTGTAAAGAATCCAATATTCGTTTATAATTCGTACAAGCGGTAAATATAAATAAAGATTTTTATACGTTTGTAATCCAAGAATCGATTTGAAAATTTTGTCATAAATTAGAATTGATGACGTATTATGTAAAAGTTAATTCTCATACCAAAATAAAGAAATAAAGTGCCAAACACAGTTAAACTAATCCTATTACGTTATTTTTTCAAAAGAAATTGCCGAATTTTTGTTAATGCAATTAACACTTATTTTCTTTCATCTGGGTTTGAGAGATCAAGACCACTTTCTTTATCATTCTCTTCTGGCCATCTTTTGATTTCAACTGAATTAATTATTGGTAAACCTTTAGCAAGCTCACTCCAATATCCCGCGGGAATCTTAGCCTTGTAAAATGTAACATAGGAAGAGATAAAACGAGTAGAAAATAAAACCTGATCAGTGATCTTACCAACCCCACGAATCCTACCAACCCCACGCATATTTTCACTTCCGCAGGTAAGTATTTCACCAGCAATTTGTAATTCTCCAAATTTATTTACAAGGTCAACATTTTGGAAGTGTTTATCCTGTCAAAAAGACTGTTTAAGTAATTAAAGATATTGACTTTCTAAACAATTAAAAAAATACATACTTCTACAATAACCATAGATGTTGTTCCTTTATTAACCACAAATTCGGGAGTTGCTGAAACATAAGGCTCATTTAAGATATTTAGTTCGCTTGGTGGATGGATACTGGATTTTGAAGAAGAAAAATTAGGAAATCATTTGAATAAGACACGGATTTTCTCAAATTACTCACTTTATATTCAAGGGCCAGTTATTCAGATGAGTAATACGAAGCAAATCATCGACCAACGTGTCAGTCCTAGATTCAGGTATTCCTTGGTTTCTCGTGACGTTATGCAGTTTGAAAAAGAAGGTTCGGACGAGACTATCTGAAAAATCGCTAATTTTATCAACATCGAATTCTGCTTTATCGAGCATATCTCTGTTTACTTTGGGGCAAACGTAGTGGTGTGGAAATTCATCGACTTTCTCGTTAGGAATAACCTGGTCTTTGGGTGCTGGTTGAAATCTTACATTCAGCGCGTTTAAATCATCTTCATTAAATAAAGATGCTCGAGTAGTGATAGTACCCGAGTAATTAAGCCGGTTAATGACTATATCTCGCGACTCCTTAAGAGTTGTAAAATATTTGACGAATCATCTGCAAAATGTAATTTTTATAGTAGCAAATTGAATATTTCCAGGAAAAAGATAATCAAAACACTTGCCTATGATATTCTTTTTTGGCAAGATTTTCTTGCACGGAAAAGGAAGAAAAATCCTTGTGTTTTATTGTAATCTTAATGGTAATCAATTTGAAATTGATATCTATTTCAAAATCGATTTCCATTAAGAGTAACCTTCCACCCACCTTCCAGAAATCTATATTCTTTATATAAAAAATAAATAATTCAAAGAATATAATAGATTCATGTAATAGATTTTTGAAAAATTCATTACACAAATCTATTATACAATATATTTACCTTTTTTCTTCTCTAGTTTAGAAAAAGATTTATATGTTAACTATATATATTAACTATATACATTATTTATTTTTTTCTTAACTTAAACTTGTGAGAAGGTAATATTTAGAAAAATTTAAATCAAAAATTAATACTTTAATATATATATCATATAAGAAATTTTTAGATTGTGGTGAGTAGATCCAGATGTCAATTTACATATCTACTAGATAAAATTTCATATAAATACTTCTGGTATATGAGGTATAATTATGTTATAAAATATAATGCATATATAATTTTCAATAAGTTCTAGTTAATATACAAAATAATCAATAACCATTTTTTATGTTACATAATTTTGATCGAGATACAATTTTGGATGAGTGATAGGCTAAAGTAATTACATATAAAATATAATGCATATGTGATAATATACTTGGAAACAATTTATGTTGAAAAATTTTGAACTACCAAAGTAAAATTATTATAGAAAATTGATACTATATAAAAATTGTACTTTTCTGAGTTATCAAAGATTTTTAATAAGTGAATACTATTTCGAATGAAATACTAGCATTCCAAAATAGAATGCACATATAATATATAAAATTGTATCAAGTATTGATAACATTTTATAAAAATTGGTGAGTCACAAAAGTAAAGTTATTACAGATATATATAAAATAAAATTATGCTTTTGTAAAACATTAAGTAAGTATTATTTTGAGTAAAAAAAAAGTGAACTACGAAGGTAAAATTATTATAGATATATATAAAATAAAATTATACTTTTGTGGTTCACTGAGTAAGAATATATATAAAATAAAATTATACTTTTGTGGTTCACTGAGTAAGAATAACAATTTGGTACATACACAGGTCGAAATCCATATTTCAGGCATATATCAGGGACCAATCGGGTAGCTATCGGGGGGACCAATAGATATC